ATAGCTAGTACTTAGTCTAGATTTATTGATTTACTTTGTATTTCTTCTATATAAATTTAATAAAGTTATTGGCAGTGTCACATTGTTAAAAAAAAAAAGTCAGTCTCATGCTACAAGTCAAATTTGTGCTCTAAGCTAAAGTCAGTCTTGTGCTATAAGTCGAATTTATACTCTAAGCTGAAATCAATGTCAAAGTCAATCAAAGGTTTGAATTCGAACTCAATTACCTTAATACTCACTTCAAAATTACTCTCACTAGACCTTCAGAAAACTTATTCGCATACTCCCTGAATTTGTTAAACTCAAAGAAGTCAAAGTCAATCTCAGTTACGTATTTAAAGTTAAAGTCGATCTCAATCACATGCTTGAAGTCAAAGTCAAAGAAGTTACCGCTCATGGTTAGTTTCAAGCTTTCTGGATACCTGTAATAGATCTAAAAAATATTTAAATATTAATGATATGTCGAATGATCTTTAAACCGCCTTAAGGGTAAGTAATTTTTTATTTATTTTCAGTTTACTAATATAAATACATATTAATAAATTTTTGTATTCAGTGTCAAATTTTTTAGATTATTGAAAGAATTCTGTCACAAGATCAATTGCAATTAGACTAGATGTTTAATGCTTAACGAAATCTTGTGAACAGCATAATAATCCTAACTGTTATGGGAACTTTAAATCCAATTATGTATCTGGTTTCTGAAATTATTATTTACGATATGATTCATAATAGACATAAGCACTGACGAGAAGAGTATTTAAAAAAGCAACAGTCAGAAACCTTTCAAAACGAACAAGCCAGACGAAAGCATCTAAATAGCAGGAGAAATAATGTAAGTAGCGAACATAATTCTTTTTATTTATTTTACTAATTTTACTATTTTATAATTATAAAAGTGAATAAATAGGACTAACGTAATTGACAACTTAACAGCCATTGAAGATTCACTAATTAAAATGTTTAAGAATAATGAACTTTGACTAATTATAAGTAATTCTGCTTATTATTCGCTAGAAATTTCAGAGACAGATGAAGAAGACTCTTCTGGTAAAAGGAAAATTATCATAAAGGATTTAAAATGGCATTTGAGAACAGTAAGATTAATAATAATTATGAATGTTATTTACTCAGTTTTTGATATTGAAGTATTTAATTATTATTTTGTAGTTGCAAATATTTTTATGCGATTATGTTGATCATATATTTACTGAGTCTTCTAAAGTTCTGAAGAAGTGGACTCAAATTTACGATAATGATAGTTTTTATGATAAAGAATAATCGAAGTCTTTTTAAGCTCTCAAATGATTACAACAGTTCATTTAAGATAGCTGTACAAAAGGCTTGCGCAAAATGATCATTAGAAGCCTTTACTTCTATGTCACATTAAATTGTAAATATTACGATATGTGTATAAAATTGGAATAATGAAATGTTATAATTTAATATATAAAATAAAAAATATGTAATTTACAATTTATTAAAATTTGAGAAATATACATAAATCGAATGTTCCTAATCAATCCTATAGAAATAATAAAACAAACTATCAAATAAATCAAGTCTAATAGTCCATTCCAACTGATCATTATTAAAAGACTAGCTGTTGTTCTGATTATACTTTATTTTTAGTAATATTGTCATCAGTATTATCAATTTTTAATGATCAGTATATTCAATAAGTTTTAATAGTCCGTTTTGGTTGAAGATGGTCGTAACCTAATGAAGTACAAAATCTGATCACAATTAGCAATTAATAATGTTATATATATTCTCTAATCAGCATTTTACCAGGTACCAATAAGGATACCTATTGGCACCTGACAGAATTCTGGATTGTTATCTTCAGACCTGTGTGATTTTATATCAAGATGCTGATCACCTGCATCTGATTGAGTGCTGGATTCTATATTGAAGTGCTTACCTTTTGATTTTATTTGATAACCTATTAAAATGCTAAATTATGTTAAAAAAATTATATCTGGTAGTACAGTAATTCGATACAAATCTGCATCTAAATTTGACTGATACTATGACATAATTTAGGCTAATCTTTAGGCATGTGATTTGAAGGATCTAAGCTGGCACTATGGTAGTAACTTAGTAGTATTCTGAAGCTGTCATAGAACTAGTAAGGAACTGCTAGAATGCCAGAGAGATTCCTATTAGTTCACCAGCTTGGATGTCAAATTATTATATCTAAAGATCTAATCAAAATCATGAAATAGTGTTAGCTAAAATTAAACAAGTCTACTGCATATACTATACTAGTCATGTAACTTTTGCTAATCTGCAAGTCAGAGAATTCAAAATGCAAAATATAAAAAATTATGTATTACCATAACTAGCCTGCACCATCTTACAATCCAACTATTGCCTATTTATTGCTGATATAAGTATGCTAATTTTATGTCTATAGTTAAAAGTGTGATATGTATTATCATGATCAGCCCATTTATTTTTAATACATTTTCAGACACATTAGGATGCAAAATAGGACAGATTATTAGGCTATTTTATTTCTTTAAGGTATATTTACAAAATATTGTAAATAGAGATCTGCATTTTATTCGATCTGATATGATCTGAATCTTGAGAATATGCAAGAGATTATCTGTTTTGTCTATCTATCTAGTAGATCTAAATTTGATCTAACTTTTGCAGATCTCTAGTTATAAGCTCTTCTGAAATCTGATCATATTCGAGGTAGTGTGTATGTCAATTTTTAGACATTCCTATAAAAATTCTCTATCTCTATAAGAAAAATTCATAGGATACTCATAGAGACAATCTTGATATCATTTTTAGATTTCTTAGTTTGATTTATTGAGTTTTTTACTATTTATTCCTATGACCCTATAATTCCTTATAAAAAATAAAAATTCAAAAAAAAAAATTTTGATTTTTTCATAGTACTTTTATAAGTAACTATGATTATGAATATGGTTAATTTAATTGGTATATAGTCGATATATAATATAAAAAAAAATAAAAAAAGGTAAAAAGTTTAAAAATTCATAGGGATTCATAGGGTCATAGGGTCAAGTAATAAAAATATCTTTTCAGAGTTTTAAACTTACCAGTTTGCTATACTAACAGTATTTTTGTTAAGTTTTTTTACTATTCTTTTAAATTTTTCATGGGAATAAATTTTTAATAAGTCATTAGGGTCAACTTATAGCATTAGGCATTTTTATTCTATCAAGAGCCTACTCTAATGCTTCTGGTATCTGCTTATTCTAAAACATTTTATCCAATTTTTTCTGGTGATAATTTGCTTTTGAATGGGACTTATTTACATGTAAATTACAAAATCCATATTTAAAAGTCATCAGTCTTACACATTCATCTTATTTGTATAGAGCTCATTGATGTCTTTTCCAGTAAAAATAATATCCTTCTGGTTGCGTACTTCTATTTCTATAAACTATCTCTTCATCAGAGAGGTAGTGGTAAATATATTTTCCACCTATCAATTTTATGCTTGGGTATTAGTTTGATATCTATAATAATATTTATTTTTATTTTAAACTTTTTTGTTAGAAGTATTATATTAAAATAGTATATTAAATAACATATCCAAAATATTTACTATGAGCCAATTTGAGCTTTCAGAGTTCCTCGACACATTCATCCTTTTTTATTTAGAGGCTGAAAAAGATAAAATGAAAGGCTAAGTAATTTGCTATTCCAGTGAAAAATACTTGTCAAGCATTCTAACTCTGAATAATATAGTTGCAGAAAATGATGAGAGATTAACTGCAATCCTTGACGATGCTCTACCCAGTTGTCAAAATTCCATTTATAGCTATTGATAGTAAAGGATCATTAGAAAAGATAAAAGAAATATATTGCTATATATTGCATCTTTATGATCATCTTATTTATGACTAAAAGGCACTAATATGGTGGCTGTCACCTATAAATCACAAAAATATTATATGATTTTAAAATTTTATAAGTCAGAAATAAAAGTAATAAAACATAAATCTAACTGATAAATTAATAAAATAACATATGCTGATCGTTTTTATCAGTTTACTTTTTAAGATTTATTAAAAATTTAATTTTTTATTTTGTTTAAAAGTTTTGGAATAAATCATATAACCTATATAGTAAAAAGATAAATTTTGAACTAGCTTAGGTGTATTATTTTTACAAATTTTATGTGAAAAATGTAAAAATCAAGAAATTACGAGTTTTAATAAACAAATTTTTTTAATATATAAGTAAAATTCTATAAAACTTTAGATAAAAATACCATATTAATTTTTGGTTTTTAATTTTTACTTGTATTAATAATATCAAAGAGAAACTTATTACATTACATAATAAATTAAAAATGTAAAAACATTAAAACAAAATTTTTCTAATTTTCTAATTTTACCTATTTTTCCATATTTTTTCATATTTTTCCATAATTAATGTTAATAAATAATATGCCCATTATGTTTCACATCTTGATCAATCGATTGATAATAATAACTCATCTATCAAAACAGAAAATTAAGGTTAAAGAACAAGAATAAGATAATAGTGGAAGGTTTGCAAAAAAACCACAAATTATTGATGATTGGAGAGATGAGAATGACAGCAGGTGGAATGATGAAATAGATTTGTTAAATGAAAAAGAAGATAAATATAAGTTAGTTTGATCAGATAATGCAGAATTTGAACAAAAAAAACGTGAATCTTACCTTACTGGAAAAACTAAAAAATTAACATATTTTGATAAATACAGATCTAGTGGCTGTTTTACAAAAGCTGCAAAAGGAATTACTAAAATTACATCATTTTTAAATAAATGTCAAGTAATTCTAGATGATTTCGATGAAGTTTTAGATGATATGGATGATATGAAAAATGAAGAACAAAATGATCTAAAAAAAAACTTGAAAGTTTAAAAATTGAACTTAAAGAGAAGCAAAAGTCATTAATAGTGTCTTAATATAATAAAAAATGAGTAGTATTTGAATATTTGAGAAGATTAGATAATAATAGAAAAGAAATGGTGAAGGTCAGTATAGAAGCTGTAGAGTTAGTTTTTATCAAAAGTGCATTATATAGAGCAAGAACTATTCGGTATTGGGCAAATTATTGGCTCTAATATAAACATTTTCTAATAAGCTACCAAGGTAAACATCAAAAGACATTATGACTAATAAATAATGAAGATATAGCGAAAAAGTATCATATGTGGATTCGGTCTCAAGGTGAAAAAATCACTCCATTAAAATTCAAGAATTTTGTTGAACAAAAGCTACTTATTAATTCAAAAATAATGAAAAAAAAATCTATCAGTACAGAAACTGCGACGTATTGGCTTAATGTACTTGAATATTTTTTCAGTCACAAAAGCAAGGTAATGTAAATATATTATACATATAGAATATTAAAAAACATTAAATTTAGTTACTAACATTATATGATATTATATAAGGCATATACTACAATAGTCACGAATGTCCTGATGTTATAAAATATCGACAAATTTTTTTAGATGAAATCTATAGCTACGAAAAGAATATGGCAAAATACAAAGGTGAAAACATAGAACAGATACCACCAATATTAGGATTGAATATAAAGGAAATAATTCTCGTAACACATGATGAGTGTGTTTTTATTCTAACGATGAAAAACAAGGTATATGGGCAAAGTCCAAAAAATTACCATTGCGTAAAAAAGGAAATAGACATTTTATTATAGTTAGTGAATTTCTAACAGAAGAATGTGATTGACTTAAATTAAACTTACAGTAATGTCAAGAAAATTCTTCCATGCCTGAAGAAGCTTGTATTTATTTTCAACCAGAAAAAGATCAGGAAGGATTCTGAACGAGTGAGCATCTAATTGAATAATTAAAGATAAAAGCCATACTGATTTTGAAAACACTTTTTTCAAATTGTATTGCTTTATTTGTATTCAATAATAGTTTGAATCATGTAGTATATAGATCTGATGCACTTGTAGTAAGTAGGATGAATCTAAAACCTAAAGGCAAGCAGCCAAAGATAAAGGACACAATTTTTGGGTCAGATAATAAGCATTAATCAATGGTTAATGAAAACAATGAACTGAAAGAAATGAAATAGGTGTTAATTGAGCATATATTGTGGAGAAATGGTTAAATGCTGATTGTCAATTGTGTAAGAATAAGATTGAAGATATGAATCAGACAAATTATTGTGCACAGAGAATAATTTCATTACAACTGGATTTCCTGTCACAAAAAAGTGCGTTAGAGGAAGTAATACTGGAAGCTAGGTATAGATGTATATTTTATCTGAAGTTTCACTGCGAATTGAATTATATTAAATGATACTGGAGGCAGAAAAAAGATATATCTGTGAAAATTGTGACTATTCTTAGTCAGGCTTGCAACGTGTTATTCCTACAGCTTTGAAATCTGTTAGTATAATTACAATAAGAAAATTTGCTAGAAAGGCATAGCGTTATATGGATTTATATAGAAAAGGAATAACTGATAAGTTGGCAGAATATGCTGCCAAAAAGTATAAATCTTACCGTTGTATTTCTGAATATGTAGTGAAAGAATTAAATAAATAATACATAAGAATTTTGTATTACTTTCGCGATGTAAATTCACGTAATAAATATTAGGATCACGTAAAAATCATGTGAAGATCTACATCTAAAATTTTGGACTAGTGTAGTTTATAAATGACAGCCACCATATTCATTTCGCAAAAAAATAAAGTATAAGTTATATTTGATTAAATATATTAAGATATATAATGCTAATGTTTAGTTGAAAGATATTGCGAAGCGTCTTAATGGCTAAGTTTATTTTATTTCTAAATTTTTTCGCACAAAATCGAAGTATGTTTCAGCAAAGTTGTCTAAATTATTCATGCTAGAAATATTAGGCATATTTGATTGATCGCTTCAAAGATTTCTAATCTTAAATGCACTTGTATTATGTTATATTAATACAACAGGCTTTCGTGATAATGGAAGAGGAGTTAGCCTGCTCTCTTGTTCAAAGAACTTTGAGGTAAAAAAAGGTTGACTGGTATATATATCCTGAAACCTATGATTAAGAGAGCAGAAAATTAATGAAACCTTTCCTTGGTTACTAAAGGTAACAGAAATACAAGCTAATTCAAAATTTGAAGCATTTGGCATAGTATCTTTTGTTTTAGATTATGCATATTTTATAGCTAGCCGTAAAATTTCCATCATGGTCATATTATATCGATGCTAACTTATTCTTTTCTAAGTGTGAAGTTGGTTGAAAGAAAAACTTTAAACGAAAACGATTAATTTTAGCCTCTTCTTGTAATATGTATTGTTTATATTGTCAGATCTGAAATTCCCTACTATCAATAGATTGGAGAATTTCATTTCTTCTTACATGTTTATTTGAAATAGTATTTCCAGAAATACATTTTTCAAGTGGCTATCATAATAGCGACGGTCACTATAAAAAGTTGCAGGTATGAAAACTAAGGAGTCACATACACTACAATATATATAATTTGTTGGATAACCATAGACTTTATCATTTTCATAAAGCTTTTCACACATTATAATATATCCATTCTTAGAAAGGATTCTTGGATTCTCTTCAAGTATTTTTCTAAATGGATCATAGATACGAGAGCATCACATTTCTGATGTTTCATAATCATATCATTCATCTAAAGGACATAATGCTTCTAATATTCTTCTATATTCTTCAAAATTTACATCACTATAACCTACAGAAACTAGCTTATATTGGGCTTTACTATTTAAATCCATAATAGTGTTTTAGTAAATTATAACAGATTAAAATGATTATAGCTGATTTTATAATGTTTTTAGTGATTTTAGCTGATTTAATGATATTATACTATAATAAAATATCAGATTCATTTTTGAACAGGGATTTATATAGGGTCAGCCCTTATGATTTTACAACGCCTAAATTATTGAGCCAGAGGCGCAAATTTTATCACTCTGGCCCAGCTGAAATTTTTGAAAATACATCATGGAAAGAATTACCATAGCTTAACCCACGCATCCATGCATGATGATATTATTACATTTACATTAATTGGCCGAAATACTGTAGTTATAGCAATTATTTTTCAATGTATGATTATGATAAAAAACATATTACCCGCAGAAAAAATTTTTAATCATTCGTTTAGAATATTACATGGAGAAAAAATATAAGTTATGGTGTAAAAAAAGAATCTAATTTTCATATCTTCTAAATTAATGGGGGTAAATCCGAAGGTGATCCCTCAGGACATGGAGATTTGGGGGATGAAGGGGAAGTTTGATTTTCAACTATCACCATTTTCTTGTTGAAAGTTCCAGTCTCTTTTTCCGCTTTCTTTGCCTTTGCCGGTGTATCCTCCACTTGAGTTATATGGATATGATTATCTTTAGTAGTACCTTTATTTATTGCTCTAATCATAGATAAAACATCAGTCTGTAATAACAATATCAAGTTATTATTAATATTTTAATGAGTGTTTATTTTCGATCCTTACCTGCCAACTCATCAAGTCAACCATATCTTTTGCGAACTGTTCAAAATCGTCAAAGGACACAGGTATTTTAATTCGTGTGAATTGTTGAAGGATATATATCGATGGTAAAGGACGAATTAAATACTTTATAATGATGTAGCCATCTACAGGAAAAAACATGATATGTAAATATTCAGAATTTCCATCACTGTCTCCTAACTATAATACTTACTGACAGCTTGTACAAGATAAACGCGTGCCTTTTCCTTGGGTATACTTTTTAATAACTTGTTCAAAATTTGCATGGAATTTCGACATAGCTTGACTTGATCACCACCTTCTTTCGCTAAAGGAGCTCTTCTAGTGAATGAAAACTCAACGATAATTACAACTTGATGTTTTTGTGTTGTTTTGATAACCTTGAAAACTCCATTGATCTTGTGTTTTTTCGTGTCAGGAGTGGTTAGCTCGACCCTAAGTGAAATAAATAAAGAATTAACAGGCAGACTATTAAACGTTTCGAAATTGTAATTGATACTTACCAACTGACATCCAATACATCCTGATGCATTCTAAACAAACGATTTAAAATATACACAGTGGTATCTATGGCATATGTTCTTTCGAGATCGAGGCTATTGGATTCAATTCTTAGTGACGCTTCTAGGCGGATGGAGCTACTCATAGAAATAAGTAATAATGACATGTGAAGGATTAGTTAATGCTAACATATAAATAAACACTTACAAATGTGTCAATATTTGCCAGGCAATGTCATGCGCTTCATGATAATAGGGATTGAACGAGTTCTCAGGAACAAAGGAATTGCGAGTGAGAATTGGGATCTTGATTCTGTCGCATACATCCTCGGTAAATTGATTGATGTATTGTGTAAATTCGAAAGTCAGATTCCAACTTTTTTTTGAAGAACATTTTCAAGCCATGCAATTTGATCTCTATTCAAGAGCCTTTTAACTTTCTTGTGCATCTCATCGTCAGATAAATCTAAAATTCCGTTGAGACATATTGATGATAAACAGTCTTTCTCAGATTGTGTGTCCCTTCTTTGTTGTGCGGTTAAAACTGCAAGTAAGTTGTTGCGGATGTTCGTCTCCTCCTGGATGATTAAGTATCAGTAAACAAATTATTTATTATACAAAAAAGTAGTAAATGCTAAAATACCTCCGTGAGGTCTCTAATCTCTTCATCATTTGCAACATCAATAATCTCCATATCACTCTCCTCCGTATCATTCACTGCGAAATTATCAGAATTATCAGAATTTCCCCTACTATTTATTATAAAGAAGTAATGAGCTCAATGGACAAGGCGTAAATAAATATTTGTACTATGCGTTCTTACCCGGGTAATTTGCGACGTTTTCCTGCATTTACTACGTTTTCGGGTTTCCGCTTCAGTGAACTCAAAATCACTTTCTTTTTCTCCGTGCGTGCAGTTTCTAAGAGTTCTAAGGCATCTATTTCTGTATTGATGATGACTGAATTCTAGAGTTGGCGAGTACATATGTTAGAACACATAATATAATATTATATACAGTAGGATAGACTTACCGTTTTATTCTCTACCTCCCGTTTTTACATAAATTCATTTTTTTTCCTTCAATTTTGTTCCAAAAATTATCTACACATGATAAGTTCTTGAAAAAATTTGGTAAATGGTAAGTAGCCGTGCAGAACTGTCATATTTCGAGAAGCTTAAACAATCAGATGACATACAATGGGACAAAACCACCATCACCTCAGGCGGGAACGAAACCCTCCTTTGGCTGTATTACACCAACAGAAATTATATGATGGGACAAAACCACCATCACCTCAGGTGGGAATGAAACCCTCCTTTGGCTGTACAAAACTGTCATAACAGACTATAAGAAAAAGATAAATATTCAAACTAAAATACCTTCTCTTTCAAGCGATTTGCAGTATTTCTTTGTTGTTCGCTATGCATCATCATTTGCAATCTTATCTAAACGCGTAACAAATCTCTTCCTCCATGTTCCTTTGTCTGTATCTTTTGCGGTATCTATAGTTGACATAATGACGGGCTCGAAAGATTCTAAAAAGTGAAGATACGCCCATTCTTCCACGGGCGTTTCATCAAAATAATCCCTGATCACCTTATAGAGAAGGTGTAAATCCATACTCAAAAATCTAATATACTCAAAAATTTAATATACAGTTAAATCTCGATATACCGAACCTGCGGTTCAGAAAAAAAAGTTCGGTATATAGATGATGTTCGGTAAATCCAATTTTTTTTTATACCGAACTCTATAAGTAAACAATAAAAAGTTCGGTATATCAAGAATCATGTAATTTTTTGTATAATGTACATAGCATAAAATTTTATTAAAATGTTTAAAGAATTATACACTGCCCTACAATAAATTACCGGATTTTATAAATTTTACTGAGTAATTTATAGTAAAATTGAAGATCTTCAGATTGCATAAATGTTTACTAATTTTCAATAAAAATCATCTGATTTTT